GCTAGGGATTTCTGGGAACTGTAGTTTTGTGAGACATTTAGCCTTCTCGGTCAGAGACCTCTGGTGCTACAATAAACTACCATTCCCAGAATTCCCTAGCACTGAGCCAGGGTAGTTAAAGCGGTCTCAAACTGGATTATTTCTGCAGTGTGTTTTGGACCTTAGTGGGTCTAGTCAGTTCTAACCAATTCTAGCGTTACTAGTCAGGTCTAACCAATTCAGTTCAGGCTATTGTTTCAAACTGGTCACACTGGTTTTATTGTTGGCCTTCCTAAGATCTTTCAGTATGAATATTCTGATTTGTCCCAATGTGGCATAGTGGTTTGAGTGTTGGACTATGACTCTGAAGACCAGGGTTCAATTCCTTGTTTGGCCAGGAAACCCATTCAGTGGCCTTAGGCAAGTCACACTCTCTCAGCCTCAGGGGAAGGCAATGGTAAACTTCCTCTGAACAAATCTTGCCAAGAAATAAACCCTGATAGGTTTGCCTTAGGGTTGCCATATGTCAGAAATGACTTGAAGGCACACAACAACAACAGCAATGAATATTCTAATAAATAACACTAAAGAAATGGTCCACCTCAGGCAGCAAAATTGCTTGGGCATGGCCTTCCCAATGGGCAAAATGAGATAGAGTTGTGCAATGGTCTCAGTGTTGGACTAGCAGACTGGGAGGCCTGGGTTCAGATCCCTCTGAATAAATCTTTAGATCCAAGATGATTTGGACCCTGGACTAGGATGCTGGGATCCCTGCTCAGCCAGGGAAACCCACTGGGTGACCTTGGGCCGGTCACACTTTCTCACCCTCTTAAAGGAAGGTGATGGCAAACCTCTGGATAATCCTTGCCAGAATAATCTCCATGGTAGGGTTGCCTTGTGTGTGTGTGTGTGTGTTTATGGGTGCCTTCAAGTTGGCTGTCCATTTAATTTCATAAAGTTTTCTTAGGCAATAGTCAGAGGTGGCTTTCCCAGTTCCTTCCCCTGAAATATAGCCTGCAGCACCTGGTAAGCGTTGGTGGTCTCCCTTCCAAGTTCTAACCAGGGCTGACCCTGCTTAGCTTGCAAGATCAGAATGGATCTGGTGCCTCTAGGCCCCTAAGGTTGCCTTGCTGTTGTGTGCTTTTAAGTCCTTTCTGATTTATAGCACCCTAAGGTCCATCATGGGTTTTTCTTGGCAAGTTTCTTCAGAGGGGGTTTGCCATTGCCATCCTCTGAGGCTGAGAGAGTGTGACTTGCCCAAGGTCATCCTCAGAGTCACCACAAATGGTCAAGGATTTGAAGACACACAACAACAACAACAACAACAGGAGCAGCCGTTCTCACCTGCTTTTAGACTGAAGGTCCCCATGGCTTCTTCTCCTTGTGTCTGAAAGCATCTAGCCAAGAAAACACCAGGATGAGGTTGTCATGTTGTTGTTGTTGTTGTTGTTGTATGTTGTTGTTTCAATTATTAAGGACTTAAGGCCATCCTATCCTGGGGTTTTCTTGGCAAGATTTGTTCAGAGGAGGTTTGCCATTGCCATCCTCTGAGGGTGAAAAATTGCCCAGGGAGGCCCAGCCAGGATTCGAACCCAGGTCTCTAGAGTCCTAGCCCAACACTCAAACCACTGCACCACACTGGCTCTCTGCAGAGGTTGTCTAGGATCATCCTAATGACTTGAAGGCACACAACAACAACAACAACAACAACAACAACAACAACAACACATACTTCTAGGCTCAACTTCCCAACCAGGGTCCAATCACTCCTGGATGCATCCACACTGCAGACATAAAGCAATTTGACACCACTTTGTCATCATCATCATCATCATTTATATTTTTCCCACCTCTCCCTACGGATCATGGCTCCATCCCTGTGGAATCCTGGGATTTGTAGTTCAGTGAGACATCTTGCCTGGTCTGTGGGAGAGCAGTAGTGTGCCTCAGTAAACTACAAGTCCCAGGATTCTGTAGGATACAGTCTTGGCAGTTAAAGTGGTGTGAAACTGTTTTATTAGTGCAGTGCGGATGCACCTCTGGTTTCCTCCTGGTGTCCCAGTTGCAACACGCAACCTGAGAACAAGCATTCACACAATACAAAGCAAGGGAAGAAACTATTCTGGCTTCCTCCTCCTTTTCCCCCTCCAAAAACCCATCTCCCCCTGTGACACCCGTTTTGTTTTTACAGGTGGTCAACAGTGCAGAGACTGCTAGCCTCCTTTTATTGGAAATAATAATAATAATAATAATAGAGGAGACTTTTTTCCCTTAATAGAGCAAAGTACTGGCACCACAACAAAATGCTATTATTATTATTATTATTATTATTATTATTATTATTATTATTATTATTATTATTATTATTATTATTATTATTATTATTATTATTATTATTATTATTATTATTATTAATTATTATTATTATTATTATTATTATAGACTTTTTTCCCTTGATAGAGCAAAGTACTGGCACCACAAAAAATGCCATTCCTATTATTATTATTATTATTATTATTATTATTATTATTAGAGGAGACTTTTTTCCCTTGATAGAGCAAAGTATTGGCACCACAACAACATGCAATTCCTATTATTATTATTATTATTATTATTATAGGAGACTTTTATCCCTTGATAGAGCAAAGTACTGACACCACAACAAAATGCAATTCCTATTATTGTTGTTGTTGTTGTTATTATTATGAGACTTTTATCCCTTGATAGAGCAAAGTACTGACACCACAACAAAATGCAATTCCTATTGTTGTTGTTGTTGTTGTTGTTGTTGTTGTTGTTGTTGTTGTTGTTATGAGACTTTTTTCCCATGATAGAGCAAAGTACTGACACCACAACAAAATGCAATTCTTATTCTTATTCTTATTTTTATTTCCCAAGAGTTTGAGGAGGAAATGCTTGTCCAAGGCTGGTGCTGAAAAGGCCTAGGGAAGAAGAAAATGAAATATAAAATAAAATAAGATAAATGTTTTCCATTTTTCCCCCAAGTGGATTTAAATTTTTAAAGGGTGTGGAGGGGAGAGGAGGGAGGAAGGAAGGGAGGAAGGAGAAAGAGCAAAAAGAAAGAGAAGGAAAGGAAAGCACAAGTCCTTTATTGTTGAGAAATAAAGCTCAGCAACTCTGCTTCTTTCTCTTTTTCTCTGAGCAGCCCAGGGAGGGTGAGATCCGGTATCACATTGCAGATTCCCACTCAAGATAAGGAAATGTGATCTATTTTTCAGAACAGCAAGTGGATGGGAAAGCAGCCCCGGACAACACAAAAACTCATTTGCTAATGGCCCGGTTTTGGGTTTCCTTCCCTTCCTTCTCCAGGGTCGCAAAAGCGCTGGCGTTTGGAGTTACTGCTGGCCAAGGCTTTCTCAATAAAAATAAAAATAAAAATAAAAATAAGGTAAAATAAAAAAATAATAATAGAAGATCAAATAAAAACAAGAATGAGATCAAATATAAATTAAAAATAAAATAGGAATAAGAAGAAGATGAAATAAAAATAAAATAGGAATGAGAATAAGATGAAATAAAAATAAGGTAAAAAATATAAGATCAAATGAAAATAAGAATGAGATCAAATATAAATTAAAAATAAAATAGGATAAGAAGAAGATGAAATAAAAATTAAAATAAAATAGGAATGAGAATAAGAATAAGATGAAATAAAAATAAGGTAAAATAAAAAATAATATAAGATCAAATAAAAATAAGAATGAGATCAAATAAAAATAAAAAATAAAATAGGAATAAGGATAAGATGAAATAAGAATAAAAATAAAATAGGAATGAGAATAAGAATAAGATGAAATAAATATAAGGTAAAATAAAAAATAATATAAGGTCAAATAAAAATAAGAATGAGATCAAATAAAAATAAAAAAATAGGAATAAGGATAAGATGAAATAAGAATAAGAATACGAATAAGAATAAGATGAAATAAAAATATGGTAAAACAAAAAATATAAGATCAAATAAAAATAAGAATGGGATGAAATAAAAATTAAAATAAAATAGGAATAAGAATAAGAATAAGATGAAATAAAAAGGTAAAATAAAAATAAAAGAAGAATAAGATGAAATAAGAAATAAAAATAAGTTGACATGAAAATAAAGAAAAGATAAAGTGAAATAAAAAATAAAAATAAAATAGGAATAAGAATAAGATGAAATAAAAATAAAATAGGAATAAGCACAAGATGAAATAAAAATAAAATAAGATAAAATAAAAATAAAACAGGAAAAAGAATAAGATGAAATAAAAATAAAAAATAAGATAAGTTAAATAAGAATAAGAATAAGATTTAAAAAAATAAGATCAAATAAGAACAAGATAAAAAATAAAAATAAAATAGGAATAAAAATAATGTAAAATAAAAATAAAATTAGAAGAATAAGATGAAATAAAAGTAAAAATAAAATAGGAATAAGATGAAATAAAAATAATAAAATAAGAAGAATAAGATGAAATAATAAATAAAAATAAGATGAAATAAAAATAAAAAGGTAAAATAAAAATAATAATAAATAAATATCAAGAAACCATAAAAATAATAAAAATAAAATAAAATAAAAATAAAATGAGATAAGATTAAATTAAATAAAATTTAAAATGTAAGATAAGAGTAAAATAAGAGAAAATAAAAATAGGATAAAATAAAATAAAAGTAAGGTTAAGAAAATTAAATTAAAAAATAAAATAAGATACAATGAAATGAAATGAAATAAAATGAAAATAAAACAAATACAATTTAAAATAAAATAAGGTAAAAATAAAAATAAAAATAAATAACCAGGATCTTGATTTCCCCCCAGAAATCAGCTGCCTAATCTGGTGTGACTCTTCCTCCTTCTCCCACTTTGTTTTTCCATTCTTTTCTTTTTAACGTTGGGAGAAAATGAAATTGTAACCCATAATTTGGGATTGCTTCCCTGTTGCTCCTGCAGAGACCAGAACACAGGTTCATAGGATAAGAAAAGAGATTTCCAACCTTTTTTAAAACAGAAGTGGACAAAGGTGTAAGAGTTTAACTCACACAAAACAATTGGAACAAAAATCCATCAAAACCAGACCTTTATTGGCCAAGCAAAATGCACAATAGACTTGTTGCAAGACAATGGGGAGACAATTGGAAGTCTAGAAACAGAATAGATATATAGATATACAGTTGGCAAATAATAACAAATAAGCAAATTAAACCACTAATTAATAATATCAATTGCTTAAATTAAAAGTTCTTTTTTTTTAAAAATAAAATAAAATAAAATAACAACCCTTATTTACTATAAGAGCTCAGAGGGTGCATCTACACTGTAGAAATAGTGCAGTTTGACACCACTTTGGCTGCCAGGGCTCCATCCTACAGACTCCTGGGATCTGTAGTTTGTGAGGCACCCACCCAACACTCTGCAAAACTATAAATGCCAGGATACTATAAGTTGGAGGTACATCACTTAGTGGTATCAAATCACATTATTTCTGAAGTGTAGATGCACCCCAAATGACCTAGTTTTCGAGCCAAAGCGATGATGGGCAGTTCTAGCAATTTCAAAATCGAAAAAGAATATTTATAAGTATACAAATATATATAAGTATACAAATATGAATTAAATATATAATTTTATATATATATATATGAATTATATATATATATATGAATTAAATATATAATTTAATATATATAATATATCAGTATATATAATTGATATATATACTACATCAATATATATAATTAAATATATAATTTAAAGAGCAAGGGAAAGCGGTTGAATGGGAAACCAGATTGAAACCGGTATTAAGATGCCCAGGAGTATCTTCTATTCAGAGGCTGCACTTGCCTATAAGTGATGCATTGAACTCAATGGGATTTCGGAGCAAACTAGGACAAGGATTGCCTTGCCCAGCTGCAAAGAGACTTGCAGGCGCTCCGCACTGCGGATATAATCCGGGTTGACACCGCTTTAACTGCCCTGGCTCAATGCAAGGGAATCCTCAGAGTTGTAGTTTATTGTGGCACCAGAGCTCTCTGATAGAGAAGGCTCAATGTCTCACAAAGCTACAGTTCCCAGAATTCCCTACCACTGAGCCAGGGAAGTTGAAGCAGTCTCAAACTGGATTATTTCTGCAGTGCGGATGCAGGCTAAAAGTTTGAAGAAGAGAAAATAATTCGGTTTTAAATCAAGCCACCGATGCTGAGGTTGCATAGCAGGGGCCTGGCTCGAAGCAGTAGGTTAGAGACCCCTTGTGGTGCAGGGAATCTCTCCACTGGGATCAACTTCAACCAACAGAGATCATAAACTCCTGCCTTTAATTCTGAGTCAATAGAGAATTGATCTCGATAGACAATCGATCTCTATTTAAGATCAACTTCAGTCAATAGAGATCATAAACTCCTGTCTTTTATTCTCAATCAATAGGAAATTAATCTCGATAGAGAATGATCTCTATCGAGATCAATTTCAGTCAATCATAAACTCTCGTCTTTAATTCTCAGTCAATAGGGAATTGATCTGATAGAGAATTGATCTCTATTCAGATCAGCATCAGTCAATATTGATCATAAACTCCTGTCTTTAATTCTCAGTCAATAGGGAATTGATCACGATAGAGAATGATCTCTATTGAGATCAACTTTA